TTTTCCGTGGAAAATATTTTTCAAGAAAATATTTTCTTGGAAAACAAGTAGTAATCTTATTCATTTTTCGGTATTTGGTACGCAAATTAAAAAAATGACTTCTCAAGAGTATTCATAAATAATTTAGATATAATAAACATGAAGCCATAAACTTTCAAACCAACAACATTTCGAACCCACAAATTTCATAAACTTTGGAACCGCTAAACTTTCAAAATCGCGGAATTTCGATCCCATAAACTTTGAAACACATAAATCTCCGAACACATAATTTGGGAATTTGTAAACTTTAAATAATATTTTTTATGGGTGGGGGGGGGGCGCAATATGACGAAAAAAATAGAAATTTAAANGGATTGTTGGTAAATGCTTTCCCTTCTCTTGATAAGGAAAACTTTTCTCCAATTGGAGGAAAATGAGTTCATCATAAGAAAAATGTTTTCCAAAACATTTAAGCCAACCAAACATGGGAAAATTGGAAAACATTTTTCGGAAAATGTTTTCCTTCATACTAAACACACCCTAGGTTTTCTTATCTTAAGAAAAAAATTCATTAGATTAAGACTTCGAGGATAAAAATCATCAAACTAAATTTTTTTTAACTTAGGAGAAAGATTCATTAGACTAAAATTTCTATCCTAGGAGAAAATTCATCAGACTAAGACTTCGATCCTAGGAGAAAATTCATCAAACTAGGTTTTTTTTGTCATCTTAGGAGAAAAATTCATTAGACTAAGATTTCTATCCTAGGAGAAATATTCATCATACTAGATTTTCTTATCTTACGAGAAAAATTCATCAAACTAAGATGTTTATTCTAGGAGAAAAATTCATCAGACTAGGTTTTCTTATCTTAGGAGAACAATTCACCAGACTAAGATTTCTTATCCTAGGAGAAAAATTCATCAGACTAGGTTTTCTTAACTTAGGAGAAAGATTCATCAGACTAAGATTTTACTCAATCAGACTAGGACTTTTTATCCTAGGAGAAAAAAATGTGAAGAGCAATGGCAAGATTTTATGCACACTAGCAAGTCAAATAAGGGCACAGATTTGAGAAACTTCTATTTGTCGGTTCTTCTCTTCTCTTCTTTTTGTCACACCTCCTTTTTCCCGAGGGGATATGGAGTTTTTCCAATTAAAGTGTCATTAATCGAAATGGAATTATTTATTTATTCAAAGTCGCCACTTGGGATAATTTATGGTGTCCCAAGTCACTAGTTTATTTTAAATCCCATATCAAGAAAATTTTAACTCTATTTTTTGTCTGCAAACGTAGAAGATCGGTTACGAAATTCTGTTAACCTAGGAGAATGTGACGACCCGACCAGTTGTCTCATGAGTTACCGCTCTGTTTTCCACATTTCTATTTCTTTATGCTTCGTTATCCGTATTTTGTGGTATCGGGTTGGTCGGATCGAATCCGGAATGATTTTGGTAAGGTTTGAGACACTTAGTCTCCTTTAAGGAAGTTTAAGTTGGAAAAGTCAACCGGATGTTTGCTTATGTGTTAGAGGGCTCGGATGTGAGTTCTGATGGTTCGGTTAGCTTTGGGAGGTGATTTTTGGCTTCGGAGCGCGATCCGAATGAATTTTGGAGGTTCGTAGTAGATTTAGGCTTGAATTGGCGAAGTTGATATTTTGGCAATTTCCGGTTGGTAGGCGAGATTTTGATATAGGGGTCGGAATGGAACTCCGAGAGTTGCAGTAGTTCTGTTGTGTCATTTGGGATGTGTGTGCAAACTTTCAGGTCATTCGGACGTGGTTCAGTTGGGTTTTTGATCGAAAGAGAAATTTGGAAAATTTTAGAAAGTTTGGCTTGAATCCGATGTGTTTTGGGTGATTTGATGTTGTTTGAGATGTTTTGATGATTGGAACAAGTTTGAATAAGGTATTAGGATATGTTTGTTCTTTTGGTTGAGGTCCCGGGGGCCTCGAGATGATTTCGGGTGGTTAACGGAGAAGTTGAGATGTTATTCCAGCTGCTGAAATTGCTGCTCTGGTGTTTTTGCACATGCGGTTTGGGGACCGCAGGTACAGCGCCGCATGTGCGAGAGAGTGGCTGCAGAAGCGGATTATGGGGATTTGTCAGGGATCGTAGAAGCGGCTAAGAGGGCCGCATCTGTGGAATTGCAGATGCGGAAGGGTGATCGCAGATGCGGATGTGGCCGGTTAAGTGATTTCCGTAGAAGCGGAATAATGACTGCAAAAGCGATACTGCATACGCGGTTGAAGGACCGCAGATGCGGAAAGGCCTGGGCAGAACATATAAGTTATTTCATTTTGCGAATTTGAGCTATTTCACCATTTTTGACTTCGGCTTGGGAGCTTCTTGGGCGATTTGAAAGAGGGATTTCAAGAGAACTTCATTGAGGTAAGGAATTTGGACCTAAAACTCATTCCTATGCTATTATTTCATGGATTATAGCTAGAAATTATGGAAATTAAAGGTTAAAATTGGGGCAACTAGGGCTTGGGAACTTAGGCCTTTAATTGAGGATTTGAAGGACCATTTGGGGTCGGATTTGAGAAATTTTGATATGTATGAACTTGTGGGAAGATAAGAAATCTATTGATGTAAAAATTATTGAATTCCGAGACGTGGGCCCGGGGGCCGATTTTTGGTAATTTCGGGATTTATGTCATATAATGATTGTTTTCGCTTGGGCCTCGTTCCCTTAGAATATTTTGACGTCCTCGTTCTGATTTTGGATAGATTTGACGCGCGTGGAGACCGATTCGAAGGGCAAAGGCATCGCGAGCTAGAGATTTAGGAGGTTCGAGGTGAGTAATTATTGTACATAATGTTCTGAGGGTTTGAAACCCCGGATTGCACATCGTAGTGCTATATTGAGGTGAGGTACATGCTTGATGACGAGCATGGGGTCGTGCACTATTGGGGATTGTGACTTGGTCCGTCCCGAATGACTATTTTACCGCATATTTGACTGAAATCTATTTGCTATCATCATGATTTGGCTGAATGTCATATTTGGGCCTTATGCCAACTAGTTGAACCCTTCGGGGATTTTTACTGGTATTTCCTCACTATTTTGACTTTTTTTACTAAACTTAGTCATGTTATATTTTACTGTTTTTTGTACTCAGCCATGTTTACTCTGTTTTAACTCTTACATGATCTTTTTAATGATATTTTGTGAGGAAACATTTGATACTGATTATGAGGCCGAAGGCTTGAGATATGTATGCCACGAGGTGGTTTGATTGATATAATTACGAGGGCCTAGTGATGATGCCACAAGGTGGCTTGATATTGCGATTGGGCCGTAAGGGGCCCCTCCAGGAGTCTGCATACCTCTAGTGAGCATGGGTACCCATTGTGATGTGAGATTGAGCCCGAAGGGCTGGTACTATTCTGAGACGTTGCTCGAGGGGCGGATTTGTTGATATTGTGCCCGAGGGGAGAACTTCTATTTGTTTACTTTACCTTAACTGGCTGTATAATTATCTGGTTACTTGTTGAAAAAGGAATATCTAAACTTTTCATTGGTTTACTGCTTTTAAATCGTTTTACTGCTTCATTATAGAATGTCTTGTGCCTTACGTGTTTTTTTACTTTCAGTCGTTATTTACATTTGTTACTCACTGAGTTGGAGTACTCACTTTACTCCATGCACCCTGTGTGTAGATTCAGGCATAGCTAGTCCCGCTCCCGAGTGGTGATTCATCCCAGCTTCAGGCAGATCTCGAGGAGTCTTTAGGTAGCTATTGGCGTTCGCAGCCCGGAGCTCCTCCCTATCTCTTTTCCTTATGACCTTAGTTCAGTGTTAAACTCTGTAGTTACATTTGAGTATCCAGTGTTGTTAGATGCTCGTGACTTGTGACACCCTGGTTAGGGCTGTGTTGGGTTGTACTTCCGCACTTTATTGATATTATCCGCTACTTAGTATTGCTAAATCATGTTTAGACTGCTTTTTATGTTGCTTAACTTTTTAAAAAGTGAATTGGGTTTAATTGGCTGGCCTTGTCTTCACAAGAGGTGCCATCACGATCGGGTCTGGATTTAGGGTGACCAAGAATAGTTCTGAAGTTTTTATAAATGAACATGAATAGTTCTTAAAATACAGATGACCAAGATCCCAAACAAACATGAATAGTTCTGAAGTTTTTATAAATGAACTAAATAACTTCAGCTCTAGAGCTGAAGTTCGACAGTTACAAAACAAAAACTTTAGCTCTAGAGCAGAAGTTCGCCAGTTACAAAACAAAAACTTCAGCACTAGAGCTGAAGTTCGCCAGTTACAAAAACAAAAGCTTCAGCTCTAGAGCTGAAGTTCGCCAGTTACAAAACAAAAACTTCAGCACACTTGGTTCAACATACTTGCTACTTCAGGCCCGTCTACTAGAATCTTGAAGTTTTGCATGATTGTCTTTGCTACTTCAGCCCTGTATGCTGAAGTTATGCGAAAAAGCGGGTACGTTTGCAATTTTTTTTGCAAAACGGACACAAGTTAAAACGTGACACAAAAAGAGGGTATAGATGCAAATGCCCCACTAAACTTCAGCAATGAAGCCATAAATTACAAAATGGTTCTAAGCTGGACCTAGAGGTGCAAATATCTCAAAATTTCGAAGACTCTCATTACTGCTGAACCTAATGATTCCAACGACCTTTCCACACAATTTTATGAAAGCACATAGAATATAAGTGCAAATTTCCTCAAACATCAATGCATGATTGTTCCAAATTTAAAGGGATCAGTAATGGCCATATTCAGTTTAAATCCTTATAAACAACTCGCTAAACGCCTGACTCCTAATAATGGAATTTTGAACCTATGGACTTTCTCTATTGAAATAGTTCCTCCGTCAGTAGCAATCAAACTAATCAATGCACAGTTTGCAGCCAAAATAAATTAAAAATTAGAATTTCAACCTAATATGAAAATAGTTATAAGCAACAACTGAAACTATGGGATTAATATTAGAACATCATGTGATTAACGCGTTGCCTCATGGAAGTATTTGACTCTTAAATACTTAGCTCAAACAAACCATTACCTCAATGTTCAATTTGAGAAGCACTAGAGTCCAAAATTCAAAACAGGGAGCAAAATGCAAACTTAAGACAGCACATAAAACTATAGACTTAAGCTATTATACTCAATTGTTTTTGCAAATTCTGAGTTTACAATAAACAACCATCCTTCATATATACTAGAACTAGGTGTTACCAAAATTAAACCGCTTCTTCTCATGTCTTTTGGAATCAGACAACTTAATCTCAAACATCCAAAGCATAAACAAGTGAATCACATATATGTTGAACTTCCAAATGCTTTCGATTGCAATGTGATGCTTCTCGCCTTTACACAAACAACCAATGTGCTTATAATTCTGAACACATGAATTTCACTTTTAGCAAGTAATATTAAGCAAAATAATAGCCCTATCAATACAATAAGATATGCTTATGCTTCAGGAAACCACACTTAAACAAAAAATTTACTTTAGCTAGTATTTTTATCTAAAACAAGAACAATGTCAAAGAGATAAGTTCAAATATGGACCAATCAACTTACAAGCAGACATGAAATCATATAAGAGCAACAAAGAGTCATAACTCCATATTAAAATAGAAAACTTTGGTTATTCTAAAGATCAGAATTGTATAGAATCATAGAGGTGTACCTAATTGCTAAAAAAATAACAGAAAATTAGAAAATAAGTCTCTGAATCAGTAAGATAACAATTTCAGATCAGGAGCACAAATCCAACAGCTCAACCAAAGGAAAAGAACTAGAAAACTGGTGAAAACCTGAAGCCAAATTACTTCTGTTCCTTTTTTTTTTTGCTTTTGAAGAATTAAACTTCAGGTAAAATCAACCTATATGTGTGAGTGCTTTTTGTGTGTCTTGCAGAGAATTAGTGTGTGTTCTTGAGTGTATTTGAGAGAAATATGCTGAGTGAAAAAGTGTGTGAATAAGGGAGTATGAGTCTTTTTTTATAGAATGTGAGAGTGCAAGATGATAGGAATGAGAGAGAGGTTGAGGAAATCTGTCAGCCTCCCTTAAATTTAGGAAATTAGCATCTTTCAAAACAGAAAATGGATGGTTGTCCCTGTTTCTAGATAATTCTTTCAAATTTTAGCATCTTTTAAAAACTAAAAATGGACAGTTGTCCAAGATCTAGAAGTTTCTTATATGCTTATCTAAAATTTTTCATTTTCACTGTCCAATTAACCTCCCTAAGTTTTGCTTAATACAAATAGCCACGTACCCCAATTTTGACCTAATTTCTGATTTTCAATGCCCTAAGTTTCCATGTTCCTTTAGAAACCCCCCCCCCCCCC